ATCCAGAGAGCATCAGATTTAGGACCGCTGGTCCTAGAGAAGATGAGCAATTTTCAACTGGAGATCCTAACGTTGAGTTGAAGGCAACGAAGCAACAACATCCCTTCCATCACCCCTGGAAGAATTCTCCTCTCTCTTTGACTTCTGATATTTCTGCTAAGTTGTGTTTTCTTTGGCAGCAATTCCCAAGTTGTTTCCCTTGTTATCTCCTGCGATTTTTTTTTCTTTTTTCGCCTTAATGTCCTAGTTCCGCCTATGGGGCCTGGACTTTCCAGGGTGGTCTCCGTGATGGAGGTTTCTGTTTTTTTTGTTTTTTGTTTTAAAAATCTTGAAACCAAATTTTAAGTCAAGGCCACCTTCCTGAGCGGGATGCCTGAAAAGGCTTGTAAGTCAAGAGTGCAAGAAATGAACGAACTTTTGAAAGGAAGGGAAGAGACTTGGGGTGTTGATTACTATTTGCAGAAACATGAGAAAAATGTTCATAGTCCACTGTCATTTATTTAAATAAGAACGGCGTTAATTTAAGGTTGGCAAAAGAGAAATCTTATTGGAAGGAGAGAAAATCAAGTAAAGCTACTACTACACGGACTACAGAAGTATAGAAATTAATTGCTATTGGTCGTTTCCCTAACACTAACCCAGACGACGCGATGTTTACCAAATATTAAGGTGCATGTTAAAAATGAATAAAGCATGTTTAAAAATAAAAAAAACGGAGGGAGGCGGTGTGTGTCCCTGTAAGCGTCTCTCTTGGGGCGGAGAACTGCCATCAACCCTCAGCTGAAGCCTCACAGCAAATGTCAGCCTTGCAATCAAACAGGAAGACTCAAAATTCATTCTGCTGACCAAGAATAATCCTTCCCATGCCAACGCAACCACAGCAGGACCCCCCCCTTTTTTGGGGGGGGAGGGAGGTGATGTTTGAAGCCCAAAGCTCAGCTATTGTCTTTTTTGAAGGGCCAACTTCCAGAGACTGTTCCTGGTTGAAACAGTCCCTGGAAACTGACACTCCAAAAAAGACAATGGCTGAGCCGTTGGCTTAAAACGTCACCCCCCCCTCCAAAAAAGGGATAAGAGTCTTGTACGTTTTTTCCCAAGGTGACTAACAAGCAAGTATGGGAGCACACAATACTAGAACCTGGAACTAAGAGAGAAACTTCCTGACAGTTAGAACAATTAACCGGCGGAACAGCCTGCCTCCAGAAGCTGTGAATGCTCCAACACTGGAAGTTTTTAAGAAGAGACTGGACAGCCATTTGTCCGAAATGGTATAGGGTTTCCTGCCTGAGCAGGGGTTTGGACTAGATGACCTCCAAGGTCCCTTCCAACTACTACTACTACTACTACTACTACTATTACTTCTTCTTCTTCTTCTTCTTCTTCTTCTTCTTCTTCTTCTTCTTCTTCTTCTTCTTCTTCTTCTTCTTATTATTATTATTATTATTATTATTATTATATTATTATATTATTATTATTATTATTATTATTATTATTATTATTATTATTATTATAATAGAAGAGACTGGACAGCCATTTGTCCGAAATGATATAGGGTTTCCTTCCTGAGCAGGGGGTTGGACTAGATGACCTCCAAGGTACCTTCCAACTACTACTACTACTACTACTACTACTACTACTACTACTTATTATTATTATTATTATTATTATTATTATTATTATTATTATTATTATTATTATTATTAAAGAGACTGGACAGCCATTTGTCCGAAATGGTATAGGGTTTTTTCCTGCCTGAGCAGGGGGTTGGGCTACTAGATGGCATCCAAGCTCCCTTCCAACTTTATTATTATTATTATTAATCCCAGACATGTCACTGGAAGGCAAAATCACGAAACTGCCTCTCGCTTCCTTTGCCCGTGTCACACGGGGGAATTTATTGGAGAAAGCAATTAAGTTGGGGAGCGTCAGCGGCCAAACGAAACCAGCCCGCCAAAGAACATGGCGGCTGGACACTATCAAAGCTGACACCCGCCAGAGCGTAGAAAAACACAAAAGAAGTACAGGCAATCCTCGACTTATGATCGCAGTTCAGCCCAAAATCTCTGCAATGAAGTGAGACCTTTGTTCAGTGAGTTTGGCCCCATTTTACGACCTTCCTTGCCACGGTGGTTAAGTGAGTCACTGCAGCTGATCAGTTAGTAACACGGTGGTTAAGTGAATCTGGCTTCCCCGTGGATTTCTGCTTATCAAAAAGTGGCAAAAGGCAATCAAGTGAGCCCCAGGACAAAGCAACGGTCGTAAGTGTGAACCCGGGGCCAAGTAGCTGAATTTTGATCCCATGAGCGTAGGGATGCTTCAAGGGCCATAGGGGTGAAAAATGGTCGTGAGGCACGGTTTTCACTGCCGTTGTAACTTTGAACGGTCCCTAAGTGAACTGGTGTAAGTTGAGGACCACCTGAGGGGCAAGATCAGAAGATGTGGAGAGACTTGGCCCGTAGAATCGCCAAGAGTCGGACGCGACTGAACGGGTAACCTCATGGTCATCCTCGTGTTTTTCCCAAAGGTGCTTTTTTTCCAAAAGGCAACTGGACACCCAGAAAATCCGGTTGCCTCTTAGCAAAAGCACCTTTGGGACAACCCTGACCTGGATGACTGAGAACCTCCCCAGACTCTTTGTGTGTTTTGTATGCTTGCGTTATCCATTTTTGGAGAAGACCTGCTCCTTTCTCCCCTTCCTTGCTTCTCTCAACGAGAGCTAACTGGCTTTTTCGTTCTTTAATTCAGGTGTATGTGAACGGAGAACTGGTCACCAGCATCGGAGAAGGAGGCAGCTTTGGAGAACTGGCCCTCATTTATGGAACCCCGCGAGCCGCAACGGTCAAAGCAAAGACTGATCTGAAACTCTGGGGGATTGACCGAGATAGCTACAGACGCATCTTGATGGTGGGTTTCCAAAACAAGCTTTCCCCTATTCTTTAAGTGACCCCCTTCCAAGCATTCCCTCAACTTTCATTGAAAGAGTTTGTGGGGAAAGGTCCTTGAAATGTAGGCCTGGGGAGGGGGGGGTGTAGTAGAAGGCCAGCTGTCTTTATAAAAGGAAAAGGCAACATGCTGATTTGTGCTGCATACGATTTATAAGAAAGAAAAGTGTCCAAAATTAGACAAAATGCTATTTATGGGCATGAGAAGCTTTGGATTGCTCTCTTTCTTCTAGAGAAATTAAATTAAGTTCATTTTGGGGTCATGGAGAGCTACAATCAGATCTGAAGGCGCAGTTCTGTTGACCGAAGAAGGGCTTGTAGCCGTGATGAACTTCTTAATATTTACTCCTTCCACTCCAGAGGTTTCAAAGCAGCTTCGCTCAGCTGCCACATCCGATGGGCTGGATGGGAAATGGGGAGTGATACTGCCGACACATCTGGAGACGCCAGGCAGCGGAAAGGTGAATTTGGCTGCTGGCCTTACGTAGCCTTGCTCCTTGTCGCAAGGAAGGTCACTTAAAACACGCTAGCATTTGAAAAGATGGAGAGAGGAGGTGATATTTCAGAGGAGATATTTCGTGCACTGAAGTTTAAAATCTTCTAAGATCTGGTGTGAGGATGCCAAAAAATGCAAAAGATCCAGCGGTGTTTTCATTTTTTTGCATCTTTGTACCAGATCTTAGAGGATTTTAAGCTTCAATGCAAATGCATCGGGCAACTGGTTCATATTTGTAATAATAGTAATAGTAATAGTAATAGTAATAGTAATAATAATAATAATAATAATAATAATAATAATAATAATAATAATAATAATAATAATAATAATAATAATAAAGTTGGAAGGGACCTTAGAAGTCATCTAGTCCAACCCCCTGCTCAGGCAGGAAACCCTATACCATTTCGGGCAAATGGCTGTCCAGTTTCTTCTTAAAAACCTCCAGTGTTGGAGCATTCACCGCTTCTGGAGGCAGGTTGTTCCACTGGTTAATTATTCTAACTGTCAGGAAGTTTCTCCTTAGTTCTAGGTTGCGTCTCTCTTTGTGACAGTGGCAGCATCCACGGGAGTCACTTGATCCCTTTTTGTGACTTTCTGACAAGCAAAGTCAATGGGGGAAACCAGATTCACTTCCCCACCGTGTTAGTAACTCAGCACATGCAGTAATTCACTTAACATCTGTGGCAAGGAAGAGGGAAAAACTCACTGAACAAAAGTCTGATTTTGGGCTTGGCTGTGGTCCTAAGTCGAGGACTACCTGTATCTCACCATTAGACTGGGAGATAATCCTTGTGGCCTACTCAGTTGGCCAAACGCTTCTTAAAAACTTCCAGTGTTGGAGCATTCACAACTTCTGGAACAAGTTGCCTCCAGAAGTTGTGGATGCTCCAACACTGGGAGTTTTTAAGAAGAGACTGGACAGCCATTTGTCTGAAATGGTGTAGGGCCGTGGTGGCGAACCTATGGCACGGGTGCCACAGGTGGCACGCAGAGCCGTCTCTGTGGGCACGCGCGCCGTCACTCCAGTCCTTCAGCTGGGTTTTATAAAACCTTTTCGCTTTAGGCCTCCGCCGCTGTGTGTAAAAAAAAAAAAAGGTTCAATCAATCAATCAATCAATTTCAAGATCTCGCAAAGTTGTAATTGATTGATTAAACTTTTTAGTCCCACCCAGTCTGCCGTTACCACCGCAGCCATGCCCACCCAATGGGCCACGCCCACCCGGCACCCGACAATACCTAAGTGGGTTTTGGGTTGCAGTTTGGGCACTCGGTCTCTAAAAGGTTCGCCATCACTGGTGTAGGGTTTCCTGCCTGAGCAGGGGGTTGGACTAGAAGACCTCCCAGGTCCCTTCCAACTCTGTTATTCTATTCCATTCTACTGGGTACTAGGTACCTTCTAAGTGTCTTCTCCCCAGCTTGGTTTTCAAACTGAAGTCGGCACAAAGCAGGTGTGTCAACAGCCTTCTCTCTTCGTTTTCCCACTCTCTTCCCTTTATTCCATCCTTTCAGTGTCCTCTTTTTCATTCCTGACATTCTTCTGCCCTTCCCTGCTCTCCGATGGCCCCTGCCTTAAGCAGTTTTCTCCAGCTTCCCTTGGAAAGAAGTTCCCGTTTGGTTCCAAGAACCTGTTTTCCAGCTAGCTCTTCAAAGGCTGCTTGGGGAATGGGGGGGTGGGGGGAGGGAGGGAAGAATTGAAGAAGAAGAAAAAAAAAATCTCTGGCTGCACAAAACCGTCCAGCTTTGTCCTTTAACAGAAGAAAATTATGGAAATATTTGAAGCATCTTTTCCTCAACTTTCAAATCCATTGTGCCTCTTGGCTGGGGATTTGTGACTCCTCGGCTTAAAATAGTTCCTTTAGCACACTGGTTCTCAACCTTTTTAATGCCGCGACCACAACCGGTCGTAAGTCGAGGACTAAACCGGTCATAAGTCGAGGACTAAACCGGTCGTAAGTCAAGGACTACCCAACCGGTCGTAAGTCGAGGACTTTCCCTGCCATGGAGCGCCGCGCTTGTGTGGTTCTGCCCCCTGCGCCGGCCGAGGCGTAGCTGGCAAGCGGCAGAGACGGAGCAGGCCGACCACCAGCTGGCCCAGCCCAAGGGAGGTAAGGCACCCGCCGGAAAAGGGGAGAAAAATGGCGGACAAAAAAAATGGCGGACAGCCTTGCTTGGCCACCCCCATGAAATGGTCGATCGACCCCAAATGGGGTCCCGACCCACAGGTTGAGAACCACTGCTTTAGCGACTGTTCACAGAGACAAGAAAGGTCCTGAAAGGAGTCACTTTTGATGTTTTTTCACACTGACCACCCTGGCAGCTTCCTGACGGCCACAGGGGTGTGTGTGTCAAAATTCAGACTCTTGGCAACCGACTCACATTTATGACGGTTGCAACACATCCTGGGTTTACAGGATCCCTTTCTCTGGCCTTCTCACAAGCCAACTCCATGGGGGAAGCCAGAGCCACTGTTGCTAACTTTAACAGCTGCAGTGCTTCCCTGAATAACCGTGGCAAGGACGGTCGTAAAAGGGGGGAAAACCTCACTTAACGACTGTCTTGCTTAGCGACAGAAAATTTGTGCTCAGTTGTAAGTCGAGGTTGGGGTCATACTGGAGGCTGGTTTAAAGCACCTCCCGTGTCCGCAATGGCTAGTGACGGGGGCCTTTGTTTCTTCTCCCTGTGCTTGTGTGTCCTTTGTGTTGATCTCTAAGGAGTTACATTTGTTGCACGGTTTCACCTTGCATCAAGATGAAAGGAACCCACGATCTGGTCTGGAGGTTTTCCTTGGGGGAACCGAAGCCCGGCAACGTTGTTCAGCGCTGGTTCGGCTTCCGAATTCAAGGGCATTTTGGGAAGTGTCCAGTAGACGAGAGGCAGGTGCAGGGCCCGGGAGATAAGCTGGATGAATGGAAATGAAACTTGGAAGGAAGAGAGCCAGAAAGGGGCTGCAAAAAAATAATAATAATCACACGGGACCGAATGGGTGGGAGTGTGGAGTAAGCTGTGGGAAGCGATGGAAGCCTGGAGGCTGCAGAGGATTAACTCAGCCTGATAAGACACAACATTGCTTTCCACAGTTGCTGCTTTCTCCTTCCTTCCTTCCTTCCTTCCTTCCTTCCTTCCTTCCTTCCTTCCTTCCTTCCTTCCTTCCTTCCTCACTCACTTCCTCTTTTCCTTCCTTTCCTTTCTTTCTTCCTTCCTTCCCTCCTTCCTTCCCTCCCTCTTTTCCTTCCTTCCTTTCCTCCTTCTTTCCTTCCTTCTTTCCTTTCTTCCTTCCCTTCCTCCCTCCCTTTTCCTTCCTTCTTTTTCCCTCCCTCCCTCCTTCTNGGAAGGGACCTTGGAGGTCATCGAGTCCAACCCCCTGCTCAGGCAGGAAACCCTATACCATTTCAGACAAATGGCTGTCCAGTCTCTTCTTAAAAACTTCCAGTGTTGGAGCATTCACTGCTTCTGGAGGCAGGTTGTTCCACTGGTTAATTGTTCTAACTGTCAGGAAGTTTCTCCTTAGTTCTAGGTTGCTTCTCTCTTTGTGATGGTGGCAGCATCCCCGGGAGTCACTTGATCCCTTTTTGTGACTTTCTGACAAGCAAAGTCAATGGGGGAAACCAGATTCACTTCCCCACCATGTTAGTAACTCAGCACATGCAGTAATTCACTTAACATCTGTGGCAAGGAAGGGGGCAAAACTCACTGAACAAAAGTCTGACTTAGCAACAGAGGTTTGGGGCTTGGCTGTGGTCCTAAGTCGAGGACTACCTATATCTCATCATTAGACTGGGAGATAATCCTTGTGGTCTACTCAGTTGGTCAAACTCTTTTTAAAAACTTCCAGTGTTGGAGCATGCACAACTTCTGGAACAAGTTGCCTCCAGAAGTTGTGAATGCTCCAACACTGGGAGTTTTTAAGAAGAGACTGGACAGCCATTTGTCTGAAATGGTGTAGTAGGGTTTCCTGCCTGAGCAGGGGGTTGGACTAGAAGAGCTCCCAGGTCCCTTCCAACTCTGTTATTCTATTCCATTCTACTGACCACCAAGGTGCCTTCTAAGTCTCTTCTCCCCAGCTTGGTTTTCAAACTGAAGTTGGCACAAAGCAGGCGTTGTCAACAGTCTTCCCTCTTCGTTTTCCCACTCTCTTCCCTTTATTTCCATCCTTTCAGTGTCCTCTTTTTCATTCCTGACATTCTTCTGCCCTTCCCTGCTCTCCGATGGCTCCTGCCTTAAGCAGTTTTCTCCAGCTTCCCTTGGAAAGAAGTTCCCGTTTGGTTCCAAGAACCTGTTTTCCAGCTAGCTCTTCAAAGGCTGCTTGGGGAATGGGGGGGTGGGGGGAGGGAGGGAAGAATTGAAGAAGAAGAAAAAAAAAATCTCTGGCTGCACAAAACCGTCCAGCTTTGTCCTTTAACAGAAGAAAATTATGGAAATATTTGAGGCATCTTTTCCTCAACTTTCAAATCCATTGTGCCTCT